GACATGTCAAAAGAAAAACCAGTGTCTTGTCCCAGGTATTGTCTCACAATCCATTATGCTTTTGGTTTTTTAGGGCTAGTTTCCAGGTGGCCATACTCCACTGGAGGCTGTGCCAAGTTACCCTTTTCTCTTACTGTGACATCTGTTTGTCAGGCAGCCAGTATTTGAATTCAGAATTTCCTGAAGGACTGTGCTTTGGGGCTTATCAACAAGTCTGCAGGTGCTGCTTTTGATCAAGAAATGGGGTTGGACAGATGAGGCTCACAGCCAGTTGTCCTTGCTTTCCATTGCTTATCGACCAAATTTAAGCATCAGTCTCTGCAATAATACAAATGTTCCCTTGTTAAATGAAAGAGGAGGGCAGAGAGATCTGTGCATCTTATCCATACAGCAAATCCTGAGGTACCAGCACACAGCTCTGTGATGCTCTGCTATCTATCTGGCTTCTAATGCAAGGCCTGGGATGCAAGCCCAAATTCACACAGCCCAAGCTTTAATGTCACCTTCAATACTTGTTCTTCCTTAGCAAGATGCTTCTGAAGATCCAGAGCCAGATCATGGAGAACATGAGCCATGGAACACAAAGGGGGAATATCAGCAATATTTCCAGCTTTGGACGGTACTGTAATCACCTTTTTCTCAACACATTTTAGATCAGTGGTTCACCTTACAAGGTATTTCTTTACTACTTGCACACAGAATTCCTTTTCTGTCACTACCAACTGAGATGTGCACAAGTTCAGTAATTTTGTCTGGTCTTTTGCACATAGCATATCATATTAAATGATCTGAGAGGCACATTTAATCTCTGACCCCAAAATGAAAAAAAAAAAAAAAAGTGAAAAACAGACACTTAGATGTCATGTTTGTGCAATTCATATAATGATTTTGTGTAATTCACAAGTTGTTTTGGAGTAATGTAAAGTCAGTAACAATTTCAAAACTGAGTATCAATTCCTACAAACATTGTTGTAGGAATTGGTGATTGCTGATTTCATGATCTCATTTTCCTGGGCTTTCAGCTGCATTGGATTTATTTGAATATCACCAGGTACTAGTGCTCATAACACAGCAGGCCCTTTTGAGTTGGGCATGGATCAGCTGCATCACAAGGATGAGTGAGGCTCCTTTCATTTTAACAAGGCATGCAACTGTTTCTCCTGGAAAACTACTACTGAAAATCACAGTGGTAAGCTGTGTATGGTCAAAAAATATTACTGAAGCTTGGACATTATCTGTATGTTTGGATTATGAGGCTTTAACCTTTAGATGCTGATATTTCAAAATACAAGAAAAAAATTATTCAAAGCCATGAATGGTTTCTACTCCTGAGAAAAGACTGGAGAAAGGATTCAAAGTGCTCAGGAATACGGATGTGAGAGTAGTTGAGGTCATATAATCATAGAATCCATAAAATATTGGTGAAGTCATGAAAAAAAAAAAAAGAAAAAAATGCTACACTTAAAAAGAGTTCTGACTCTGTAGTTACAGGTATGAGATATACCTTCCTGTACATGCTGCTCAACATGATCAGCACACCTCTTCAGAAGCTCTGAAAATCAGTTCCCTGCAGAGGTCCTGAAGTTTTGTGTGGTTTTCTCAGTCCTTGTCTGTTGATTCTAAAGAAAAATTTTGAAGAATTGTATCGTATTTCTGTTTCAAATATGTCATATGGGTACTTAAACTGTCTGAATAAATACAGTAAAATTGGAAACATTTAAAATAAAAAAAATGGTGAAACCTCCATTCCATATGTTACCCAACTGACCATTCCAGGTAATACCATTTAAGAGATGATTTTTGAATGCTACTGAAAAAATACTAGTATTTTTTGCTAGACAGTTTCTTTCTTTCAGAGGCAAGACTAATTGATTTTTTTCTTTTTTTTTTTAGTCTATTTTCTAGGTAAAAGCTACGTTTGAAGTATTATGATCATCATTGGGCCTTAGGCTGTATGTTACACTGAATATTACCCAAGCAATAAAAAACACCAATCAAGAGTCAGAGACCTGATAAGAGATTAGGAGAAAGAGAAGGCCATTTTGACAGATCACACTACACACTGCAGTGTTAGATCTCTGACAACCAGGATCTGATCAAGTAAAAGCTATAGCTGCAAAATAGAATGGTCAGGGTGGAAGGGAGAGGAACACAGCTCAGAGCAGAGACCACCCATAGCAAATGCCAAACAACCTTGCAGAACAAACCCCTGGTTAAGCTTAATAACACAGAATTGTGGTTGCAATCAAATTTTAAAGTGAACAACTGAGCTGCTATGAGAGAGAGAGTAGAAGACTATTTAACAGGTTTTCCTAATTCTTAAAATACAGCAAAGAAGCACCATAGAAAGGGCTGGATTAGGAGAAATAAATAATCTGCTATACCAAACAGTAAAGATATGGAAATTTAGGTAATTAACACTCCCATCATCTGCCAGGAGGAGGTGCAGAGGCAGTGAGAGCACTGCTGTGTCCATAATGCCTGCATCACCTAAGGGGTTTCTGGGGAATGTGAGATATGATCCCGTGCGCTGCTCCCAGCGGATTGTGTGTGAGGCACACAACTACCAGTCCTTCAAATGCCTATTTTCCTTACCGAGATGGTGTTGATCCCAGAGCTTTTGCCTAAATTATCCACCTTGCCACAGCTAGGCAGGGTGTTGACATAGCACTCAGCTATGATATCGTCTATTACTAAAACACCAACATATTGGTGGAATGAAAATTTTCATTTTTGACTTGTGAAGGATACATTTCAAAGTTTAAGGCAGATTTAAAAATTGGTTGAAAACTGTACCAAGCAGTTAAGCGACTCTGAATTTAATTAAAAAGGCACTGAGCTTTTTGATATGTAGAAGAATTTCAATTTGTCATCCTGATTTATAACAAGAGAGGAGATTAAAAAAATAAAATTTTAATGGAGGATAGTACTTCTTGAGTGTTGCAGGAAAGACCTAGAGACCGAAATAATGTTGGAACTATACTGCCAAAGAGTGGACTGAGGCTTTTGACAACAGACAGATTCTGGTGGACAGGCAGTACTTCATGTGGGTCTCAACTTTATCTATTGAGATACTTATGTTTACACATTCATATAGATAGTTCATATATCATATTTGCATAATATTTTAAATGTCATTTCTATTAAATTGTTAAATTATTCTATTAAGTCCAAGTAATTGTTGTATATAAAGAAATATATGTACTTTAGGTACATAATTTTTTTGTTGCTTTCACCATTATTGGTGGAATCCTGCCAAGCTCCCAACACTATCCAACATACCTGCAGCAGAAAATCAGGTGGGATCAAAGAGAGAGCTGCTGGGCTGACACTTAGGCTGCTGTTTGACAATACTGATCAGCTGGATCAGTGACATGGCTTTGGTAAGTAGAAGTTATTGACAGGCTGATGTTCTGCCTGTTGTGCAAGAGGTGTATTGTCACATACACTGTGCATGTTGCATATTTTTATTTGTCTCAACCTCCTGTACCAGGAAATCTCCCCTCTATTCCTATTCACATAAACAGGAGCCATGATGCCTAAGACAAGCATATCAGTAATCAGGATGTAACTAAATGAGGTTGGTTGCTGCAAGTGTACAAAACCAAAACACCATCTTGTATGGAGCATGATGGAGCACCACACAGGGCACAGCCTGTATGGGCTGCTTTTGCAGGTGTTGTTACAGGTGTGTTACCTGAGTGCTGCAGCATCCCTGAGAGGATGCCAGGGACACAGGGCTTTTGCCATTCCAGGCTTTTTAGGCACAAAAGATATTAAAAAAAAAAAAATATAACAGAAGGGAGCACTTTGATGGTCCCTTGGCACACATTTCCTCTATTAATGAAGTGACGAGACCTTCTCTTATCAGTCTCTTGACCCACTGCTTCTCTCTCGCTGTCTAAGTCAGTGATTTCAGACAGCACATCAGTTCTCCATGTCCACAGCACAATGCCATCTACAGGGCACTGCTGATGCCACCACATTCTGCATATCCCTGTGAGTTCCATGTGTGTGACCTAGAAATTCATTTAAGATTACACCCGAATAAATAAGATGCATTCATATACTGCAAAATTACATACAAATAAATTAAAAAATATTTTAAAATGACCCATTGTGATTAAAAAATATGTGAGAAAGGTAGAGAAAAATGCATTAATTTACTTATGTTCACTTATGTTCATTTATTAGTTCACAGTCAGCCTAGGCAAGTCTCTTCCCATTTGTGTGATAAATATTTTTCATTATACAAATACAATCAAAGAGAAAACTATCATTAATCCTGAATTCATGTCTGGATACCCTTGAAAAAAAAAGAAAAAAAGGACTTCTGATGCCAAGCAACATAGATAGGTTTCTTAAAAGAAGCCATCCATTTGATTTCATTGTCACTGTGGTAGCATCATATTCCAACATGAAGGCCAGAAAATCCAGCTCCCTCTGGGACGTGGAAGGGGCAGTGAGCACACATGATGTGCTGATAGGGATGCAGAGCTCAGGGATTTATCACTAGGCATTTCCAGTGGCCCTGCACCGTTGCAGTGGAGTCTCACACAGAGGTGCCACCCGCCTTTCCTTGCTAGAGTGAAGGGCTCCAGCAGGGCTCCGCGATGTTACAGACAATATTTCTGACAGGGTATTTCTAGCTTCAATGCTCAAGCTGTCAAGGCTGTTGTCAGTTCAAAGCAGGCTCCCTTTCCTCTGAAATCATTATATAACCACCAGTTTTGTTTTCCACATTTACCAGAAGCTGCCCACATGAAAACAATTCACTGGAGGATAGAGCAGGTAAAATACCAAGGTCTGGCTTTTAGTTTTCATTTATACCTCTTCTCTTTCTTTCCTCCCCCATACATAGGTGACCAAGAAAGGACATTTATCATTAGATGTGTGATTATATGTCTCACATTTAACATCAAGTAGAGTAATATAATAAATTTGTGATTCATAACCAAGTAGAAAGAACCATAACTCAGAAGCAGAATGAAACTTGTTGATTAAAACATGCAAAAGCATTTAATCATACACCAGATTCACAAGAAATATAATGATGTTTGTTTAAAAATTTCTCTTAATTTGTGATCATTTGGAAATATATTTGGCACTTCGACAAACACATTGCAAAATAAACCCCTGCTAAAAACCTAATCAAATCTAAGGCCCTTTAATTATGTAGCTGAGATGGTGGTGTGACTCCCACCTATGCAGAGCTCTACTGATCTTCATTTTGAAAAGTGAGAGTTTGTTGTGAGGAAAAGGGTAAAACCACAGCTTTGCATTAAATAACAGATATCTGCCTTAGCCCTACAAGATCTCTATATATAAGAATTCACACAAACCCACACTAAAGCTTTGCAAGTGGAAGGGTTCAAAATTATTCCGATCAATGCAAGCAAAAAAAAACCAAAAATAAACCCTATATGAGTAGAGTTTCCAGTTTGGCATTTGTGTTACTACCAAAAAAAAAAAACCAAAAAAAACCCCAAAAAAATAATGATCCCTCAGTATGCTAAATGTCTTCAACCAACTGAAGCCAAATTTAAGCTTTTTTAGGTCCATACAGAGTCACATTATAAATTAACTACAAGGGATTGCAGACCTTTAGCACTCAGGGAACTCCAATCTCTGCAATAGAACAATAGAAATTTCATGTCAGGGTATTCTTGTATTATGATTCCCCAGGACAGAATATATATGCAGAATTGGATAACATAGGGCCCTGTAAGATCTTACAATGAGTCATCTCAAATGAGGGGTAAGGAAACCTCTCACTGGGCTGCATGGCAGAGTCTGATAAAGCTGGAGCACATGAATTATCTTCCTAGCTGGGAACTGCAGCATACAGCACAGGATGTCTTACACCAGATGTCACTGTATCATGCATGATGAATATCACATCTTCATTACAGACTTGCCCTGATAAAATCTGTATAAATGGTGCTGCAGCAAAAAGCATCATCTAACATTCAGTAAATCTGTTTCCCTATGTTCTGATTAGCAAAGCAATTTTTTTCAAACACCTAAAGGAACTGCTACCATCCTTTCTTCATCCCAGCTGTGCAAGCTATCATTGCTTTTTAAAATGGGATGCAAACTGAAAATGAGAAGCTGGGTGTGTCAGGGCTATTTTTATTTTGACTTAGAGAAATATAATTTTGCATCTTCTTTTCTTTCCCTATTCTTCTCCCTTTCACAGGAGGAAAGCCATACAGTTGCATGCAGGAAAATGGACACACATTCTTCATTTACAAAGGGCTTAATTTAGTCCTTGAGTATGCACAGAAATCCTCCCTGCAGCAAAGTGATGTCAGACTGTGTGTACCCCTGCAGTATATGGAAATCCTGGTTGCCATGAGAACCAGACTGCTTCTTTGCTGAGGTTTCTGCTCACTGCTAGGAAGATGTGCCTCCATTTTGCCACATTGAAGCAGCTCAGCTGCAGGATGCCTGGTGCCAGGCTGGGTGGCCCTGACACTGCTCCCCTCTGGCCAGTGGTCCTTAATCAGCTCAGCTCTGCCGCGGAAACGAATCTGTAAAAGTGTCAGATAATCAGGATTACATTTATGAAGCAACATCCTTCCGAAATATATTTCTTTCCTCTTCTGCCTGCCACCCTGGAAAAATACAATAAAATAAAATAAAATAATAAAATAAAATAAAATATAAAATAAAATAAAATAAAATAAAATAAAATAAAATAAAATAAAATAAAATGCGAATGCACTTGAGGCAGTATTAAAACTGACAATATTTTATTGTATTAGAACAGAAATCAAAGCTACACCACCACAGTGAGATCTCAGGGGATCTCTCAGATTTATGTCTCCCAGCAGCCATTTTTTCTAATGCAGCAGCATACATGTACTGTCCTCCTGAATGCAATCAAAGCAAATACTGCTGCAATAACAAATTTTGCTCCCAAACTAAAGGAATCAGTTTATATCTCTTTTTTTCTTTTTTTCTTTTCCTAGAGACACAAAACAAGCTTCTTCAGATACAGAAGTTCTTAAAACTGAAAAGTGAAAAAGGAAAATGCTATATTCTTTTCCCTTCAAATATGAACTCTAGAAAAATCATCAAGACGCTGAACAATTCGAAATTCTTAAGCTGCAATGAAAGAAAGATCTTTATCACATTCTATACTTAAGAGAAGTATAATATGGCAACTGGTAAACTAATACTCATTAGAAGGAAAGGCTTAAGAGGAAAAGCTTTGCATATTCCTGTTGGCTAACACAGAACTAACCAACTAACCAAAAGTAAAGCATAATGCCCCAGCACTATATAGTGATCTAAGCCACAAAATTCCACATGTAAGTGTCCTGATCCCAACATTTAATTTTCCCTTTGCACTGTAGAGCATTTTAGACCCACAGGAAGTATTCTCATTTTCTCAGGTGTCTAGGAACTCACATCTGCCATTACAGCTCCATTTACCTGAAGGTATCAACTCTCACTTTTCTCACAGGAATCTAAACAATTAGCAGTTGCGTTAAATTAAAAGTTGTATTAAGTTGTGACTTAAACTCAAGTCACCTGTTTTTAACCTTTACTTTACTTACATATTTTGTCTGCTCTGCCAACAATGTAGGCTTCTGTGCCTGAAATGTTGTCCATTTTTTCTAACTGTATCATCAAGCCTAGAGAAAGGCATTATCTCACTCTTATAAACCTGGCAATTGATTATAAATAAATTTTTTAAATAGTTTAATCCAACATTATGGGAGGATGAACATAAAACAGCCGTGAGCATGATGGATTCAGGACTAGTTCTTGAATGTGAATGAATGGCACAGCAAATTATTTTCCTGTTTGTCCAGTGCTGCTCTACATAGAGCTGCACATTTCTATATTCAGCCAGTAGAGGACAGTGCTGAATATAGACACCAGCAAGTCCATTACTCATATTTTATATATGAAGCAACTTCTCAGTATGAAGTGGTGTGTTTCTTGCCATCTCAAAAGCAAGTTCACATTTATGAAATCAATGCATGACAAAAAAAAAAAAGCCTGATTACAAAGAGTCCTCATAAAAAATGTGAATAATTATGCTTCGTGTATGTAGAGTGTACCTCTTATTTATGCAGAACACTACTTGGGTCCATTCAAAGACCTTGACTTGGTTCTTATTCAAAAAGCTTCAAAGCTTTTCCTAAACAAAAGACAGACCTACACTGCAAATCCAATAAGCATTCTGCTTATGTGAGGAATGCAGGACAGGACCCTCAGTGTAATTACTTCTGTTCTTTAATACAATCCAGAGTCCAAGAAGCCAGTGAAATTACACAGAAGTTCACACAGTTTTAGCCTGCATCAGGAGCAGTTGCACCACCCACTCATTGAAAACATGGATTTAATAACTTGTCGGGTTTTCAGAAAAAAATCTATAGTTGGTTTATCTATCTACCTCAATTCAGAGTCTGGATGCTTTCAGTGAAAGCCATCAGGGTCTTTTCTGCAGGTACACCTCTATCTAAATCTCTTAGGCTGCCCCTTCACTTAGCCAAGGACTGTAGTTATTTGACATATAGAAACCTTCCTACTTGAAAAAAGACTAATCAAAAACCCAAACAAACAAAAAACTCCAAACCCAAACATAATTGCCTGTTCCACAAACAGTGATAGAGCTATAATATTTTATTAGTACTTGCAATGTTACCTTTTTTGGCCTGACGATTTTTGTTTTGTTTTGCCACTTCAATGGCAAGCTAAATAGTACAAAAGTGAGTTTAAAACATTATACTACTTCTGAACACAGGCAAGATATTTTGTGTTTTCTCTCACTTAAAAAATAGTAGCTTTGAGGACAATGTCATAGAAGTTATAGGCTATATCAACCAGAAGAAACACTTAAATATTTATGTAAACTTTGTTGCATGAGAGAGCACAGCTCACCAATTTCTATCATGTCACATTTTCAAAGTGACATTCCACAAAGCCCTGAGGAGACCAGCCTGTAACAAAAAGTATCTCCCAGGGTCCAGTTTCATCACATTTACCTGCAGCAATACAAAAAACCTATTAATGGAATACGTAGTGCTTGTTTACAGGGAGGGATGACCAGGAGAGAATTTCTAAAGATGTTGATATTAAGAGACAAGACTTCACTATCAGGAGCATTTATTCAACCAATCTGTTCAAGTCTTCTCCATGCAAATAAATATCTGGCCCATATTCAATATTTAATTTTCCCTTTGCACCCCAGAGCAATATTTTATTTTATTATGTTCTGATCTTTTAGGACATTGAAAAATATTTCTATTCAATTAAGGCATTGCATATTAAGAATTGTGATTAATATTTTCTTTTTAGGAAATTGAATACTCAGGTACAAAAATAAATTAATCCCTGGTTTACTTCAGTATATATTTGGATTCTGAGTTTTGCTTTAGATTTCTGTTTAATGCTTTCAAAATGTGGGGCGCTATGAGTTATAGATAGGAACAACAATAATTGCAGGAATAGGGTTCTGAGAGCAAGCATATATCAAAGTCTAGGCAGTACAGTGACTTCAGAGCTTCTCAGGTCCCAGGGGCCTTGGAATTACGTCAGAATCTAAAATTGCCTTTAAAAATACATGCATCTCTAGACTTTACCACTGAAAAGGTAGAAAGAGTGCAGCCAGCTCGGTGGCACTAAGTGAGCTGCAGACAGTCGGAATCAATCCGTCTCGGCTTGGTGACCCACCACCAGCACCTCCCAGCCGAGTCTGGCTGCTCCAGGCGCTCCTGCCAGCAGCAGCCTCTGAACGGCTGGGTGGACTCCTCTAAGCAAAGAACAGAGTGCCTTGCCACCTTAATTTGGTCCCAGTGGAGTTCAGCCATAGCAGTGACTTTAAAAGCTCCCTATGACCTCCACATTAATTTGTATTAGGGCAGGGGCAAGTCATTGAATGATATGGACAAGAACTTGTTTTGTTCATCTAAATCAGAAGGAAATCATGTAATATTTGAAATCTGTTTTTTATGCTTACATTTTTTCCTCATCTAGCAATACTTGACAGGCAATAGTCACTAGATAATATATGCTGTGCAAAAGTTTTGCTTATATCTGCATAAACTATCCATCTATGTCTATAAACATCAATATAAACTGTCTATAAACTAACCATTTATGTTTTCAGATTATTGATATAAAAGGGAAAAACTCTGGCATTGATGCATAAGCTAAGGAATGAATACACTAGTATTTCTCTAGTTTGAATTACACAGTCCTATTGTTTCTCCATATAGCAACTACCAAATTCTGTGAATATTGTCTGTACATCAACACACAATAACAGGAAAAAAAAAAAACCTTAAAGCTCATCTCTGTTTTTTCAGTTGACTGACCTGTGAAAGAAGGATGGGGGAGATGTGGAGGGGTGTGGAATTAATGCTTTAGATTTTACTCCCTTTCTTCTTTTTTCTCTGCAAAGAGCCAGGGTAATTGTTTCCTGGAGTGAAAAGAAAAGATTTAGTATCTTAATACCATGAAAAAAATTCAGCGACGCTGTTTGTGAGAAGCAGGAGGAGAGCAGGGGACTGCCTAAATGTGAAGAAAGAGACACTTGCTCTGCCATCTGTTCCCGTGTGCTGTCACCAGGCTGCTCTGCAGCAGAAGAGGCAGCTGCTCCCTTTTCTAAGAGTTAGCATGAGATATTGGAAAGAACACCCACCTCCCAACCCTGGCCGTGCCTACAAAGGATCACAGCAAGTACGTTTATGGTACCCGTATATTTGTGATGCAGGCTCTGCTACAATCCCTCTGACAGTGCTCTGCTGCCTCACACAACATTAGCAAGCTGTGTTTTCCTCTCAGGAACAAATGCAAGTGGATTAGCAGAAAGGGACTAGGCTCAAGGATCTGCTTCACATACATTACTCTCGCTGTGCTTTATGTCAATGATGTTTCAACAACCTGGCCTTAAGTTCAGGAACAAAGATTACTTGAAGGGGCTGCATGAAGGAAGGACGTGAACAAAAGCTCCATTTGTTAGCAGGGAAAATAAGAAACAGTCAGGCTGTTAAATGAAAGGAAGCGAGACCAATGAGAGAAACAAAACTTGGGATACCAGCTGCTAGAGCATGAACTGGGAATAAGGTTTGCTTCTGCCATCTGCAAAGTTCATTTCCTCAGCCTATGAACTGGATCTTTGCTTTGCCAACATTTCAACATCAAAGTGTAAACACACCTTTTTGTTTCTGTGGTTTTTTAGAGCATTTAAAGAAAGTTCATTTAATGCTATTCATTTATATGTCTTTGTCCTGTCATTTTCTACCAGCTTTTGTCCCTTTGTTTTTAGTAGCTCAGATTAAGTCTCATCCAGGACTAGCAAAGATTTATAAGAATCAGAAGACTTTAGTGTTCTGCAACTGGGACATTTCTGTCCTTCCTTATTTTATTTTTGGGAACAATTATATTTGGTTTTTTTTGAAGGCTGGACTTAAATTACACTTGTTAAATAAGGGCGACTCCTTCTGCAGAACAGGTGAGCTGGCCCAGAATAAAGATAGCATCAGAAACAATGTGATTCAGTAGTCAGGAAAATATTGCTCATTGTCAGGAACCTTGTGCTGTGTTTATGAGGCAAAGTTTTGGAAACCACTCCAGGACAGGGCAGGACTTCAGGGGTGACTTCTGTGATGAGACACCAGAAGATGTGCCCTGTGCCAGACAGACAAACTGGCTGTAAAGCACGTCTTAAATAATTATACCTGGAACATACATCCTCCTGCTTTACATTACTCCACATCTTCAGCTGATAGGAGTTTCCTCTGCAGTGGAAATACAAGAACAAATGCTTCTATCAAAATATTCGAAACTGAAAACAAGTGCTTTTATATGAAACCCAGAAACCCCTTCTCCCTTCTTAAGAAATTCCCTGTGTCTTTAGCATCAAATAGCAGTGCCTTCCTCTCTCATCCAACAAAGCACATAAGCATATGAATAAAGACACACACAACCACATGTGAATGTTTGGAGAGGCTTTCTCTCACAAGAAATGAGTAAAGAATTAATTTTTTACATTCACTTACACCAGGTTCCTATCCTGAAGATTCCTGTTCATGGGAAGCATGAAGACTTTTTCCTTTGTCCAAGAAAAAAATGGACAGGTTTTATTTCCACAACTCTGATTGAAGAAGGCAGTAATATCCGTATCTCTGTTTACTTTTGCATAGGTTGTAATGGGAAAAGTATATATAGAAAAATATTCTTCCCAAGTGAGTATTCAATTCTGGATGATGATGCCTGAGTCAGGGAGTTCTGTGCAAATGCAGAGAGGAATCATTTATGCTAATGCAGACACCTTTGACAATAATCAGTGGTAACTCTTTTCCGATTTTCCGTCCATAAGAAATCATGCTCAGGGATGAAAAGTCCTGGCTTCTAATGCAAAGCTTACAAGTACATGCAGACAGAGGTAGTCTTTCACCATGTGGAATTTGCCAGTACACTTTCAGAATAGCCCAGGTGTGGCTTTGTTACATCTGAAATCTGAATTTGATTCCATGTTATTTCAAGTCAATAGAAATTCATATAAAGATTGTTTCTGGAAAGATGTTTATCCAAAAGACTGGACTAATTTCTATAATTGCATATAAAGACATGCATGTGTGCTTGTGCATTATTTTTTTGCATTATTTCTCTTTAAAAATCTTATCTCTCTACCAGTGTAGAATCATTAGCCTACAATGAACCATATCCTTATCTGGGAGGTGTGTTTGGCTTTGTGCATGTTAAAACCTGGTTTAATTGGTACTCCTTTCCCAGAAGTGCCTTACCTTCTGTAGGCAGTTGCCCAGTACTGCTGTGATTTCTAGTCTGTGGTGCACACTGGCAATAACATTTGAATTGATCTCTTAGAGTGCTAGTCTCAGCAATATGCAATAACTTACACCTACAAATAGGGTTTCTTTTTTAAAATCTATCCATTTCACACTCCCATTTCACCTTTCAAGGTGAAAGCATGAGGCAAACTGAACACTTTGGTACAGAATCAGTGATATTCTGAAATTATCTATATATATGAAGACCAAAAACAATGCAGAAATGTAACGAGATGTTTAGTTAGAGAGTTACTATTTTTTTATCATTATTAAATCACCTTTTTTTTTTCTGTAATGTGGGATTTCAAGTAGAGTATAAGTAACTTAAAATGTCATTTTGCGATTGTTGTATATGAATGTGCTTAAAGGTATCTCAGGAAAATATCAACAATATTTGTCCTCAAGCTATTTGAATTTTTCACATGTTCTCATTTTCATCGACAGTATGGTACCTCTCCTTTGCATCTGATTCTGCTAAAGGTTAGTCTAAGAACTGTAGCCAATCCCAGTCACAAATGTTGCTCCTTTGTAGAAAGGTCATTACTTTACCCAAACTATTACATCAGTGGCAATTTTTCTATATGGTCCATACCTGAAAAGTTATATCCTCTTGCATTTCTCTCCATAACTCTGTTAATGTGCTACATGCAGACAACTAGGAATGCTCTCTTTCATTTTTAGTTCCCTGATGCCATGGATGCTATACTCCTACTGAATAACATTAATATTGTTATATACTTCTGCTTTAATATAACTTTTGCCTCTCATCTGTATTATTCCCATTGCACTTGCATATAACTCATGTCTGCTTTGTCTTACATTTTTTATTTCATTTCTCTCCTGCCTCCAAATGCTCATCCTGCCATTTCCCATTTAACTGTTTCAGAAAACATCACATTGCTTTTCCCTGAGCATCTTTTGCTATCTGGATATCTAGTCATAGGTGATCTGCCCTCCCCCACATGAAAGTTTCCCTTTCATTCCTCATTCCTTTAGGAAGGACATGTTTTTTTTTTGTACAAAGGGTGGAGCCTGGCTTTTCAAAACAGGTGTTCAGGCTCTTCTGATGAAGCTTAAAAAGAACAAAAGGTCAAATTCAGCTGCAATGGATAAGATCTCATCTCAAATAGAAGAATTTGTTCACAAATACTTTAAAGAAAAGAAAAGGCAAAACTAAAGGAAATGTAAAGAAAGGCACCTCTAGATAACCAACTTGCTTTTATCTACTTTATCCAAAGACAAAGTAGAAAAAAAAGTAAAGACTATGATATGGTGCAGTAGGCAGTGATGTTGCCATGTTTAAAAGATGATGTGCACAGGGTTTTTTAAGGCTGCATTAAAAGGACATTTAGATAAGAAAATATTTTTAAAAATTGTATTAGTATTTAAAGTGTTTGCCTCTTCCAAGCACATAAAAGTAAAAACCTTCTCCACACAACTAAAGGAAAAATTTCTGTTCCATTCAGAGCCATTCTTTTATTTCAGTTTTGTCTCTGCACTGGAGGAGTTCATGCAAGAAATTCAGTTTACTGAGGGATCATGAAGTATTGCTTCAGCTACACGGTATCTCCAATGCTGCTTTACAGCCTGTGATGACCACTACTTTGACTATTTAAGAATGTTTATATTTGTTATCTGCAAGCCAAGTTAAAAAATAGGGACTCTATTTTGTAGCAGCCTTTCTTCTTGCGTAAGTCCTTGCTGTTAAGCTGTACTAAAGAGATACAGTTGTGGGGGTTTTTTTCAGTGCAAACTGCCAGAGCATGGGCATTAATTTGATTTTTCAATGTATCACCTGAGAGAGCTTACTCTCTCAGACTGAAGGAAAGAAATTAAGGTGGAATGATAGAAAGCAACTTCTTTTATCCAGTTTTCCCACATTTCTGAAAAATCAAACATTGAGGACTGAACACAATCCAGCCTTTGCAGATCAATGTCCTCTTTAATTTAAAATACCATATTTCCATCAGCTGCTATTGATAAATTAAGGCATATCTGCTCTTTATATCCCTAGATCATTAGAAGAATCTGAGGAAAGAAAAAACCAAATCTTTAGAAAAAAATGGCGTGCATTCAAATTCTTGACTATCCTTTCCCACCTGAATAAAACCCAAAGTAGGAGGATGCCCAATTTGTTGCTTAAGTTTCTGTACAACTCTCTTTTATTCTACTGTAAACTGTAGATTTACTATGTAGTACTTTGAGAGAATTCCTGATTGTTAAACTTTGTCAAATATAAGTAGAGAAAATGTTTTTTAATTTTATTTTTTTCTTCCAATTAATTAAAGGGACTAAATATTGAAATCAAGCTTTCACTTAAAATTTCACCTAACAATATATATGCTGAACCGGTAATATCTGCCAGCTGAGATTCTAAGATGTGCCACATAACATCTGGAATGTTAAATAAGTATTTCCACAGTATCAGGAACATATTTTAATAATTATTTTGATCAGGAGGCCAGTGGAATTTAATGTTAACTGTGGTGATCTACTTGTGAGTTCTTTAGAGGGCAGGTCCTGAGAGAATATGTAGTAAATAAATTAATTATCTTATATTAATTACATATTAATCTCATTATCTTTTCTCTCCACCGTCTGTCACATGCTATGTCACAGTTAGTCAAGTCACAATTGGTCAACAGAATGACAAAATGGCATTTGTAAGGGTTATAAATAGTTGGATCATTTCATCACCAGTGACATTTACTGTAAAAAACCTTTTGTTTTTTGGTCCCATGCAGTTTTTTATCACATCAGCTGCTTATCATAAAGATGAGGCAGGAATTTCCCCTATCTATCCCAATAAAGACATTAAAGATTTGACATCTAAGAAGACTATTCTCCTAGTAAAACATTAATAGCTCAAGGTAAAGGAGTGCAAATGAAAAACAAAATGCCATTCATTTCTTGGCACTGCCATGTATTGATGAAAAATTTCCATTTTTCTTGCCCTCACTTCCTGTAAACAAAAAATCTTCCTGTAAATGTTATACTTGTAAAATTCTCTTTGAGCTTCATATTTGGAATACCATAATAATCATAGAGTTCGAATCTTGTTGGACAGGTTCCACTTGCAAGTGATGATTCCAAATGGTTTTGGAGCCTGTAAAACATTTGTAGCTGCAACTAGATTTCTGTTTGCTCTTTATGAATATATAGTGAAGACGAAGAACAAGAAGGTTCCAGACATCCTGTTAAAAAAAATCAGTCAACTTTCTAGCACCTCTATCCTTATAAAGTCTGATTCTCTTAAATAAAAATTAAATTCCCAACACAACCAGCATAATGAGTGAAGTTTGAGTAAAGTCAATAGGTAATTTAATGGGATAATTCACCTTTAAAATCAGAAATTCCATCTCAATTGCCTCTGCTATAATTATATACCTAGAAGTGCTGCACAGACAGAGTAGAGCAAACAAAATCAAAGCACAAATCAGCACAGATCTCAAGGACTAGTGACAAGGGCAACGACAGGCAGATGCTGCAGAGGAGTGCCTGATGCACCTTGCAACAACATAATAACGTCAAGAAGATTTATTGTGGGCTGCACACAAAACATGACAATAAGCAATAGTAATTCCATCTTGCATGTGTTCTTGGCCTTCATGTTCCAACTCCTTCTGCTAATGTAAGCAATGGCAGGATAAGGGTTCAGGCAAAACAGTTGTTTGTGAATACATACAGATGTAATACAACTGTGCAATGTTGATTCATTGGCACTGTTCCTGGCATGATTTAGGACCACCACCACCAGCATTATCCCAGACATCCAATATGGTTTTGATGACAACACAGGCCGGAGACTCTTACATCATTTCTAGTCAGTTTTATATAAAATAAGATTGGTTTTATTCTAAGCACACAATCCACAGAGTGTTTTGTTACAAGGGCAGCACTTGACGTGACTTTCCCCCATCTCAGTTAGGATTTTCTCAGGATATGTT